TTTGTTCTTCTGCTAATTTGGTATTTTTATTATAGTAATTTCTCTCTAATTTGGCTTTGGACAGATGTTCTTTAAATTTTTTAAGTAATTCTTTAGCTTCTTCTTCTTGGCAAGCATTGTAATGTAAACCATCTCTAAAATGTTGACAAGTATCACACAAGTCAGTTCTTGGACTCATGATTTGAATTTCTGGTGTCAATTGATGTCATAATTTTCTGAAAGCATCATATTTTAAGGTTTCCAATTTGTTATCTTCTTCTAGACCAGCAAGAAAATCTCTGTGAACTGATTTATAACTCATTTCAGCTGGTAAAAAGACAATTGATTGAGTTATTCTATATATTAATACTTCTTCCTGGACTTGGTAATCCATGGACTTCTGCATAATTTTTCAGAAAATTCTTTACTACTTCTGCAACATTTTTATCAATCACCATTTTTGTTTTCCATTGAGGCATTCTTTTAATATTACCATGAATTCTTGGTAGAAGACCATTATTTATCAGGTGATTTCTAATATTTTCAAAATAAGTCCTGCCAATTCCCAACATATTGAGGTAAGTTTCTTGACAAAGAAGTGTATTGTGATCCCAGTGATAGAAAGTTCTTTTATTAGATCTAATTTTCTTTTTAAGACGTCTGCTAGCATTTGTTGATCCACCATCCATTGCTTTAAGTTGGGCCATTAAAAATATGTCTTGTTCTGTTTTAGAGAGAGCCTGAAAGGATTCCCTTAATTCTGCAAATTGTTCTTTGGGAATCCTTGAAGAACAACCACAATTACAGCCTTTTTCTAAGAAATCAATTGCTTTTTGATATTCATTAGAACCATTATTATTTTTCATATACACTTATCCCTATACATATAATTTTATGTTCACTTTGTAGTTTTATTTCACTTATCCATAATAAATCAATTCCAGTGTTACTAATTATTTTAATTGAGAGAGTGAAAGGATAATGATATTTTTGTTATACGGGATCAGATGAATGATCACATGTTTACTACACTATCAAATAGTTTGGGAGACAAATAAATTATTAGGGTTCAGGTTGAAAATATTTTATTTGCAGGTTAGAACTTTAGAAAAATTACACAGAACTAAAATTGTTTATATACTACTCTGCTAAATATGACTTTTTATAACACACAATATATAATAATATAATGATGGAATAAGAACAAATTAAATAAGTAAATGCTAGGGTGATGTAACTATTGTCCAGAAGTACCTAATTATTTCAAAAACTTTAAATGCAAGAAAATCAATAAAATACATATCATTTTTCCACTAATTATTAGCTAACTCTAAAAAAATCTTTTAATGAAACAGGTAAATTCACTCTTCTAATAATAATTTTTCTAATTGTTTATACCATTCTTCATCATTACTTTTCTTAAAATTTCTCCATCCCCAGCACCAGTTGGCCAAGTTATTTCATAATTCATGAAAAGTGGATATCTATCTTTGTCTGAAACCCCAGATCAATCAAATTCTATTAATAAAGCATGTACTTGTTTATCTTTTTCATATATTAAAATATTATTTGAACGGAGATCACCAAATACAATATTATTTTCATGGAGAAGGTCAACTGCAGCCTTGATTTCTTTTAATATAAGCTTTTTTTGCATCAAATCAAGATGACTGTCTTGTAATTGTTTTGCATTATCAACATATTCCATTACAATAATTATCCATTCTTGCATCTTTTCTGTATCAATATGGAACAACTTTGGTGCAAATCCCATAGCAGCACACAACTTGTGAGCATCAGCATTGTATCTTCTAGAGAATTTAACAATAATATCTATGCCACTGTCAAAAATCCTCGCCTTGTACACACCTCTAGAAATGTGTTCTGTGTAAATGAATTTTACCTCTATTCCATCTTGAACAAATGTATTTA